ATATAATTGATGATGTTGCGATTAAAAATTCTTGTATGTACTGTAAAACTTTAATCACTTTATTTATTGAATTTCATCATCATCAGCCGGATTGTTGCCAGATATTTTTATATAATATAATTATGATAAGGAGTACACAGTCTACCTTATGATAAGTGGATGCTGTGGCACATACACATCTAAATTTATTTATCCTTGATTAAGAATCAAAATGCAGATACGTTGTTACCACTACGGACTAAGATGGAATGTCTCGTTTCCAGTTAAAGAATTTCCGGTTTTCTATAATCACCATACGAAACACAGCAGCATTGAGGTGCTATTTTACGCTGGTATTCTGTGATTGCAGGATCCTTCTCTGGTCGAGCCGAGCTATTCGTGCTACAACCATAATATAGCTGCAGCGTGGCTCTACCACGTAAAATTGAATACATTGTTTTCAACAATTTGTGTAAGGGCAATAAATTTATTTAATTACGTTTTAACTAGCATTAAATCATACCTTACTTTGTCTTTATTATTAGTAGAACATGATCATTGAGCTATTACGTACTACGTACTAGAGGCGACACTGCATTCAGCTACTATGTTCCACTCAACTGCGGTGCATTCACCGCACTTTAATCATTCACTCGCTAGGCGCTTGTAGAGTTGAAACGTGATGTGTTAATTTAAAAAAAAAATCTCTTCATAAAAATATGCCGTCGTGTGTATTTAGATATTGCACAAATAATTCAAGAAATGTCAGTAAAAACCAAGGTATTACTTTTCATCGGTTAATAAGATACTTAATCAATAAAAAAGTATTATAGAATAATAATAAAACAAATTATTGCTAAGACGCCATCTCGTGTCATGAAATATAGATTATGAAATTATTATGTTCAGATGCGACATTTCTGTGGGTACTTAAGTATAGGACGAATATATTATTAAACACATTTTTTTTTGTAGAAACATATATAAGTTATAATGATTAGGTTAAATTTTTTATGTTTAAATCTGCTTATTATTCTTTTATTTTATTTTTAGGTTTCCATATCAAAGTCAAAGTTGAATAAATTCGTCCATTTTTAACTTTCGCATGTCCAGCATTTATGAACGACTCTTATTCTAATTTAAATAAATATATTTGTAATTTAAATGTTATGTTAACACGTTTTGTTAAATACACATTTAGTATGTTTTTTTATATTTGACGTAGATACCTTTTAAAATATTCAGATAAAAATATCATTAAAATGTAATTGTGATATAATATTATGTAATATTATATTAAATAAGCAAATATAATATACAAAATAAATGACAAAGTTTAAATATTGTTCTCGATATAATTTACCTATTTAACAATGTAATCTACTATTACCTACGGATCAGTCTACCTATATTTTTTCTATGATAAAAAAAAACCAACCGCGCGAACACAGAGTAGCGCACATGTTTTGTTTGAGATAGCTGTTCTAGTACGTAAGTACATAATACTTCAATGAACATGATTGAGCTTTTTATGAGCTCAGAATTATACCCAGAAAATATTTCTTGTGCAATCTTAACTAAATATTTAGGTTGCCGATGTTGTCGATATACTAGTTCACAATCACTACCTACACACGATCAATCACGACTATTTGTGTGTTGATCGTGTGTGTGATCGTGTGTTGATCGTGTATGTGATCGTGTGTTGAGCGTGTGCACTGAGCAAAGCATATTTCAAATATCACACAGTTATAAACGTAACAGTTTTAATTTAAAAATCAAAACGCGTACGCAACGGAAAACGCTCATTTTCATATTTTTTTTTTTTGACAAATTGTGGTCTCTATAAAATTAAGAATATTTTACATTAGCTCATCTGTAGGATTTTTGATTCGCATGAATATGACTATAGACATAGTAATGCAGTTATTTTTCTTTAAATTTTCAACATTTTTTATTTTATTTTAGTGGATATTAATGGGGCTGAAAATGAATGAAGTGCATAATGTCTGCCGTCAGGGTAATATTTGGTTTTACATACCTAATAAGAAGTACTTTATTTCAGCCATGTAATATAAATCAGGGCTGTCATAAACTGGAATTTTATTTATTTTGGCCCGCCCGGGATTCGAACCCGGGACCTCATGATCATCAGTCGCACTACTACAACCACTAGACCAACGAGGCAGTCAAAAATGCTATAATATTGATGATGGTTCGAAAAGTTGCGCGATAAATCGATGTGCTTAATTTTTTTATACTTTGCTTTAATCAATTGTTTTGTTTTAAAAGAAAGACCTTACTGCATAAAACTAAAACACAGTTAGGTAAGAAGTGAAACATTAAAATAAAATAATTGTTTTCGTCTACATTAATACTACGTACCGTGAAACCCTTTGAGTATTAAACCAAATTGGTTGAATACTCAAAGCGTGAAACCTTACAACTTTGCCCTTGGGGGACATCTTTGCCCAAACACGAAAATTAACTAAAACTACCGATAGACATTTTATTTTAACAAATGTCAACTTTGTATGGTGTCTAGGGAAAACTAGAGTATCCGTTTGACAGCACTAACTACTACAATCGCAGCTAACTATATTCAGGCATCTGTCAGCAACCGCCAAAGAGACAGTGTCGAAGATGGTGCAAAAACATTGTTGCAGTTTTGCATCCCGCATTGCCAAGAAACGCTGCGCAGGTAAGATTCATTATTATTTACGTGTAGAGCATGGTTGCTGCTTTTAATCAAGGTCTCTTTCTTACACTTGCCTTAGTTAGCGAGAAAATTGTGAGGGTAATGTTGTAAGCAATTTTATAAACTGAGGTTGACAACATTGCCCAGCTCAAAAATGTTTTTAGGGTAAACACTATTGCTGCGGGCTGTTCGAAAGAGATACCGCGGCTCAGGAACGTAAGGGCACTGAAGGAACACGGATGGTTTTTAGTCAGTAAAAAGTCTGACACTCCCTTACGCTCCACCCAGAGCGAAAGGGGTCATTAGATGATTTTCCATCCGCAAAAAAAAAAAAAAAAAAGGGTAAACACTATTGAAAAAAAACAAGGAAACATGTACCTAGGTATAATAAATAAAAATTATATATATGTAACAATATGTAAATATATATTTATACTTAATAAAATAAATAAATATATATAGGTATATAAAAAAACTGTATAACAATAATTACTTTTAACTGCAAACTAAACTACTGTTCTGATAACTATATAGGTAACTAGATACTGTTTTATACGTTATTTTAAATATAATAAATAGGTATATATTTGTGGGGATTTTTTGTCAGAAACCGCTAGTTTCCCAAAAGAGAGAGCTAAAATGTTTTCAGTTTCAAGCTAAATTTTTTAAATAAGATTTATGCGGCAATTCGAAGTCTAAAAGAGAATTTTCTCCTCAACTACAGACATTAACGATCGCAGACAAAAGTGGCCGACAAATGGATTGGTACGCACAGTAGGTGAACCACGCACATCAGTGGTAACAAAATCAGTATAAGTATCGTCGCTGTCTACTTTTCCTTATCTCAACTATCAGGGTTAATTTCTGAGACAATTTTCTAGAACTTTCTTATCTAAACATTGATTTTATTGATTTTTTTTGTTCAGTTAGTTTTTGTTTTTAATTTTTAAAATAAAATATACATTATTGCCTTAAAATCAGTGTATTATTTTCCTTTCATCTGATGCACAGCCCTAGCACCTCAAATCTCTTAGTATGAAAGTGTGACTAAATGTGATGATAACATTGCCCACCGCCATTAAAACTTAAAATGGACTTCTATTTATTTCAAAATGTAATGGTATACCATTTTGTCAGTTTGCTAACAATATATCTTAAAATCAAAGTCGTAGAACTTATAGTTGCTGAGAAATTTAGGTTGAGCAAAGATGTAAGAAAGTGCCCACGTCTGTTTTTGTTTTTTTTTTTCAGCATCTCTTAGGAATTATGTTAACTACCTGGTTTTGACAGTTTATTTGTTGCATAGAGTGTCATTTAAAGCTTCAGCAACCATCAAAATAAAGTGGCTATTTGTTGAAAAAAGTAATAAAAACCGAAATATGAGGGCAGATGTACCGTAAAACCTGCCAACATTGGCCACATTTTCCACTTAATCAACTTTAAATCCAAAAAACTGTTAGTAAAGTATTAGTTTTTCATATTTGTTTAACACCGAAACCTCAACTGTTGATGTTAATTCACGTAAATTGCGAAAATTAGGACAGTTTCTTACCTAAAAATATATTTTTTTAGTCGGCCAAAATTACATCAGCTTTCTGTCAACATTAGCCACTGCTTATAACTCTTGAATTATAGTCTCAATGCCGTTTACTTTAAGAACTATGACAGGAAACTGGCCAAAGAAGACGTATAAAAGGCAATAATCACAAAAAGTTAAATATTTTGGCTTACAGCGAGGTGGCCAAAGATACCCGAAACTTTTTTTAAATTTCCATACAAAACGGTTTTAGACTCAGGGTTGTCAATTTTTTTAATTATTATATATTGGTTGGGTGTATCAAAAAAAGAACATGTTTTTAATCAATCGCATTTTATTATATGACATTTATTTGGTACAATATTAGCATATAAAATACGGCACTTTTACTAAGCAAGTAGACAACAATATAGACTATCAAATTATATCAAGTATTAAATGGTTATGAGTAAGTACTTAAATTACTATCACATATTTGTGAGATCAAAATTCTTAAAAAAAAGATTCATTTTTCAATTTAGTAATCTCAAGACTACTTAATCATCACGTTGAGGTGAAAGAGGAAACTCAAATTCATAAATAAATATATATATATATATAAAAAATTATAACAATAGGTACCAAGCTTAAAGTGTTTATTTAGAACCTAGGTACCTACTGAAACCAAAAAATAATAAATGAAAAACATACTTTAGGAAATGAGCGTGTAAATGACACATTCTAGTAAATGCCAAAGAAATACAGCAATATACTTTTTGTGATAACACAAGATATAATATCAAATTCTTAAAAGTACACAGAATCCTTATCACACATTAATGCATATTCTTCAGGACTTTCATTGAATTGTAAAAGTTCTATAATTTTAACAATGTTACTTTCTGGTACGGCTATATCTCGATCCAAGAGCTTAGGTTTAATAAATTTAATATCATCCGAATCCTTTGATTTTATGCATTTGTAATAAGATATATTAAACGTTTTTGAATTGTCATTAACACTTTCAATTAATCCTACATAGTACTTCCATTTATTTGACTGATAGTATCTTACCAACACTTTTTCTCCTAATTCATAATACTCTTTTTTCCCTAATTCATAATACTCTTTTTTCTTTGAATTCTTGTCAATTTGATGTATATCTTCTTTTATTATTTGTTTATCCATATTTATAGATTCTTCCATATTTATAGATTCGTCAATATTTGTACTCTTCCATACTTATTTCAAAATTTGTAACATCACTAAGTGCTTCAATTATGTCAGAATCACTATGGGTGCTAATCCAATCTTCCTCAGTAGTTGTAGAACTATCTAGAGATTTTCTTGGTCTCTTAACTGGTTTGACGTTTTCCTTTTTGACAGTTTTTCTCAAACGACGTTTTTTTCTTCCTTTTTTTACTGCTAGTTTTCTCTCTGCTATTTGCAGAACAACTCACAACATCCCTAATATCCTCATTATCGTCACTACTTAAAACACCATGAACGTTAATATTAAAAGCAATATTATCTATTTTTCTTACCTTACCATCCGAATTTTCAGTATGTGGTTTTTCTATGATAATATTGCGTTCTGAAGGAAAAGTTTGTGATAAAATGTTAAAGCTTGTATCAATTTCTTTAAAATATTTAGTTTTAGTTTTTGCAATAGGCTCAGTCTTATATTCTGGTAATATGATGTCGGATAGAATATTTATCTTTTTGGGCTTGTCTTGGTCTTTTATCGAAATCACGGGTAAATCAGTTTCAAATACTAAATCAGTGTTTTTGTGGCTTCCATGAGACCCGTTTTTTCGTTTAAAATATAACTAATGTCATAATTTTTTTTTATAGAAGAGGGGGCAAACGAGCATGTGGCTCACCTGATGTTAAGTGACTACCGCCGCCCATGATCAACCGCAACACCAGGGGAATTGCAGGTGCGTTGCCGGCCCTTTAAAAAAGGAGTAAGCTCTTTTCTTGAAGGTCCCCAGGTCGTATCGGTCCGGAAAAATCGCCGGTGGTAAATTATTCCACAGAGAGGTTGTACGCGGAAGAAAACTCCTTTTGAAACGTACAGTGGTGGACCGCCAAGCATCCAGATGGTGTGGATGGTATCGGGACGAAATTGTAATTTCTATTAAAATTCTCGAGTGAGACACTTGCGAGTGAGGCAGCAGGATCTACCTTAGTGAGTGTCGTAGTATTCTTGGATGACTTGACTTTGCCTCGTACATTCGATTTTGAGAGTTGGGAAGTCAGCAGTAAATCATCGACTGTTACTGATTTTCCAGGTACAGTCATAACTTTCTTGTTTATTTTTGTTATCATAGGATTTGGCTGCCTGATCTGCTTTAAGTAGTCTAGCAATGCATTGTCGATCCCATATCATGCCACATATTCTTGGTACTCCGGTACACGCTTCAGTACTTCTCTTGGGTTGAATGGGTAGATCCCCGTTGCTCTGAATATTTTTAGATGAATATATTTCAACTTGATCAAGTAAAGAATGTAAAAGTTTTGGGAAATGATTCTTATTCAGAGTAGTTTGGTTGGGATTTTCCATTTTGTGCTTGAGTAATATTGCTCGCCACACTTTTTTAAGTGGTGCAAAAAAGCGACGTCAAGGGGTTGTGTTATGTGTGTCGAGCTAGATGGAATGAAAACAAACTGAATATTGTGACACTCACATAATTCGATAACACTCACATTTAAGTGGCTTGATAAATTATCGCATATAATGACCTTTTTACCAGGTAAAGACTTTGTCCAATCCATAATAGTTGTGTTAAAGTAATCTTCAAAAACAAAAGAATCAAACCACCCAGATCTTGTGCGGTTATACCTAGTACCACGCGGTCCACCCTGTATCCATTCAGAATATAAATTCTCTGCCTTATAGACAACGTAAATAGGTAGCAAGCTCCCGTTCGCTGTAACTGAGAACATCAGCGAAATGGCTGCTTTAGTTGAGTTGAGCACTCGTTCGGGATATTTTACTCCTCGCCTAAATATACATTTTGAAGATTCTGGATCATCTGTTAAATTTGTTTCGTAAAAATTGAGTATATTTGATGGAGCAACATCTTTCAAAGTCTCTTCTAAATTTCTAAAATATTCCATGAACTCATCAACCCCTTTCTCAGCTCTATTTTTTTTTAAATTCTTCGTGCTACGAACTAACAAATCTGATGAATGTCTTGACAAAAAATTATCAAGCCATGCTTTTCCAGGAGGTCCTCCGTTAAATACATCCTAGCGGCCATTCTTTTTCAAGTATTCAAACACGACGAGGCGAAGATCCAATTTACTAAGTGGGCATCCGAATTCCCCAGCAGCAATTAAAACTTTAATAAATTTGGCTTCTTCGTCATCAGATAATCGCGTTGGACATCCGACAGACTTTGAGACTTGTTTACTTTATTTAATATTGTCTGTTTAGGAATTGCGAATTGTCGCGCCGCCTCTCTTGCTGATATCTGTTTTTTTTTCTAACAAGATCTACAGCTATTTCAAGCATTTAATTTGAATAATTTTTATATTGCCAGGCACCAAGGCGCCTGCGACTTTTTCTTGATTTTGGCTTAGATGTATCCATTCTGTAAATATACATACACATAAATAATAAGCAAATATACATATTTTAAACTGTATTCTAGGTATTATACCAAAACTAATTGTAAAACTAAGTTTTTGCTTATGCAAAAAGTACCATCAACTGATAAGTAGGTAGGTACCGGATTCTAAAATTATCAGTGGGCAGCCCTAGTATTATTTTTCTGTGACCAAAGTTAACGGCACATGTTTGCTACAAGTGATTGCAACATTGGCCATTTGAATTACTGATTAATAGAGGACTCATATTGATTTGAGATGTACACCATATTAAAACTAAGATTTCACTTAATAACATATCAAAAATTCCACTCACTTGGATCATTTTTCAAGCGCGAAAAAGCTTTATACTCGAGGAACAATTTGGGATAGTCAGTAATCTATGATTTGGGACCACCGACAGCACTGACTTAGAAGTATATGGACTGGGCATACCTACAAAATTAACGTGACTTCCTACAAAAATCTGGCGCATAAAATGACCGCCTTTTATAGGGTTGTAACTCTGCAATATGCGCAGCTGATATCGATATTTTAACTATGTAATATGAATTTTTTTCTCATTTTATATAATTGGATTTGTTGCTTAATTTACTTTATTCCGTAGGTATTTACATAGATACAGGGCTGAATTTTCAATCGTCAAATAACTAATCTGGCAAATAAATGTGACTGACTGATTTATGGCTTTTGTGTAGATAGAAATTAAATCCTTCTTTTGTGTTGAAAGTATTACTGGGATGGTGATCCCAGGTCCCATATTATTAATGTAAAATAATAATGATTAGTTGAGTAAAAATGAAATAAACTGTTTTAAAATCAATACTTATTTTTTATTAATTTTTCTGCACATAATTCATCACAAATAGTAAGTTATACAAGCAAGTTGTATATCATATTTTATTTATTCATTCGGATTTTAAATGAAAAATATTCAAATTCGATCAAATCAAATTTCGAAAAATTCGAAAAACTGGCATGATCACGAAATATGATATGCAGGATAACATCCTGGATATCATATTTCATACACCGTTTCATGATCATGATAGATTTTTATATAAACTATTATTATTATTATTCGTTCATTTCTGAACAAAATTATTTTTAATATAATTTCTATAAGACAGTTTGTCACTGCTTCTTCTTGCATGGTATCTGAACCTTTTTCTGCCACAAATCCCGCAATATATTCTAATAAATCAATTGATAAGGTTTTTAATAATTTAAACAACGACTCTAATAGAGGCATATTGAAGACCACTCCTGAAAGTGTTTGTTTTTTCTCCCCAACTAGTAGCGACAAACATACATATACTGTGATTTTTAATAATTACAAAACTTCTTAGCAGTTTTTTATTGGCTAAATAAATTATAAAATTATGCATCTTACATAAAGTAATAATTAAAAAATACATCCCTACCATAACACTTGAAATAAACTGTAAGATACTTATTTGACATAATAAAATATAAATAGAAGAAAAACACCTACTATAGGATAAGATGAAGGCACTGCACTACACAACAAAAAAACTTTTAGCATTCAACAGTTTGACAGCAGATCTACCACAAAACTCAGCGCTTAACATGGCGACGCAGTCACGCGTGGATGATCTAATGACGTCACACGAAAGTGTTGTCAAAATAAGCAATTGACAAACTGTTGTTGTGTCCCCTTTCCAGGCCTGGTCAACTCTGTATGGACAGAATGAAATACTTACGGGGGCTGAATTTTATTATTGCCATTTGTCAGATAAATGTCTTGTTTCATAATTAGTAAGATTTTGCTAAAGATAAATTACACTCAAAAATTTTGAATACAGAAATAATAATCCATAGGAAGATAACTATGCCTGTCGTATTTTTCTACATTATTATATTAGCATATTCTTGACAGTAAAAGAAAAATAAATGTTTTCTTTTTTGTTTTGATTTTCAATGAGTAGAAAATTATATTTTTTACTGGTAGCACCAAATACCTAAATGAGTATATATTTCTCTTTTCTCATAATATGGCGCAGCCGTGTAAATTATTGTTGTTCATGATTGGTTGTTATGTTTGTTTTGCTTGTGTCTTTTACTAAGATTTTGCAAGTTTACGATGTTGAGTTGAGATTAATGTCCTTCGTTTATATGATGTGCAATGTGTTAGTCAATGAATCGTAGTGAAATACGAAATAGTGACTCTTAAAAACTACGCAGCAATGGCGGATAAAGAAAATAGAAAAAAGTGTTCTAAGTGCAACAGCATACCAACCGTTGACAACATTAAATTATTTAGGTTTCCGAAATTCGCAGTAAAGTATATTTTGCGGTACGTATACGATATACATATACACTATTTAATAAGTTCTAACCTTAAAGTAAATCTCTTGTCCAACTTATTGTTTCTCTTTTACCATTTAAAAACAAATTATTGGTTTGTAAACCATTGGACCTACTTTGATAAAATTTGTATTTAATAATTATATCTTTTGTTTTCAGCTGTAAATTATGGGCGAAATATTATATTCCTTCCCAAGAGCGGTATACTACTTTAGCTTTCCAGACAAAGCTACATAATAAGCCCAGAATGCTGTGTGAAAAAC